ACTCTCAGCATATGCTTGTGATGCCACCCCATGGCAATCTTTGATGGTGACGATTGGGCCGTGGTATGTTGAGAATCAAAATTGTCGAAACTTGTAATGTCCGCTTGGATGCTGCGTTACGTTGAACAACATTGAGGCAACATTAGCAGCAGTTAATAGTGAACATCCGATACTTGGGTATTGGACAAGTTCAAGTTCATTTGAGTCTTGAAATATAGCATTTTACCGGAAGTGTTCATTGTTTAACGGGTCGTTGGATCAGGATTTGACGAAGACTCTGGAAATGTGGATAGACCTAGAACAAAGACCGCAACGCAGCCTGACCAAGCAATTAATACCCACGTGTACGTCACTGAGCAGCTTATGTGAAGTAAGAGAAATGCAAACATTAATTTCAGAAGGGAAAAAGTACCTAGCGTAATAGCTGTTATACTAAGTTACGTGAGATATTTGGACAAAACTAAAAGCTGAAGGTGAATTAGTTAGGAGAAAGGAATCGTTTGGTTTAACCACCAAAGTGCATCCAACTCTCGCGCAATAATCCTAGCCGTCGGTTAGCCAAAACACGTGCTTCGGAAAGGAGTGCATGCGCTCTACTACCCAGCGCTACAAAAGCCTACCTGCCCTTACTTAACCAGAGCTCAGCTTGTTCAACTTCAAAGAGTGACTGCAGAGACAAAATAAGTTATTTGGACCGTAACTATTACAATTCTGCGCCGATCTCTCCGATAAAATACTGTAGATTTTGAAGGAATTCATACCAATTCTCCTGTAGTAAATTAGGTAGTTCCTTAAATTAAGTTAGTGTAATCCAACTAATGAGCTAATAACTTATTGATGCACCACAAATGCATCTTATTTTGACTTCATTCTCTCCGGTTTATCTCATACTAGCGCCTACTTCGGGAAACGGTAAGTATTCTGAACATCTTTCCGTGTTTCAGTGTTCGCCTTTAAACACGCACTTTATCAACTGACAAGTTACTTCTGCTTGTGATATGTTTTCGTACATAATAGGATCTACCTATCATTAACCAAAACATCCGTACCGCTTTCCTGCGTTCGTAACACAAATTTGCTCAGATGTGATACTGAACACTTTACCTTTTCCGGTATGTGCTTTGTTCACAGGAGAAAATTGACTTGTTTGAAGAATTGGTATTGATGCGGTTCGAATCAGTTTGATCGCCATATTTAAGCCGAGGCTAGTATTAGGATAAGACACCGTGTAATAAGCAAGATTTCATGCTGGGCTGTTTTTATAACCAAGCACTGTGTGTTGACATAACCCTGCCTAACATTGAGTAAGCCTTTAGTACGCAGCAGCATTTTACTACACAGGGAAGAATTTTGACGGGGAGTACAACATACCCAAATGACGTGTGCCTAACTCTCTGGTCTTCATACGTACTCAGACTTCGTTTTAAACGTCGGTATGACATGTTGGACAAAGTTTCCTCTCTCGCGTGTATGAACATCTGATTGTAAATAGTATTAAGTCTTAACATCATGACAGTTGATATAACTGTTCTGAGTGCGTTTCCTGGAGTTGATGGTAAAATCGTTCAATTCTGTATAGCCTCTTCGTGAAGGCCTCGACGCTCCATAAGACCGTTCGCTGCGATACTTATGTTAAGCTACCTCATTTTCTAAGTTACATGATCCACCTGCGGGAAAAGATTTTCTCAGAGCAGAAATATCGAAGATTTTGCTTTCAAGCTTCTAAATCATTACTCGTGCTGTGCGAACTTATGCCAAAATTTATGCGCAGTACCACCAGCAGATAAAACCTGACTACACCGTAAGGTAAGAAAACTTATGGCTAGTTATGACACTTATGACACTTATTCAGTTTTATGCATAGTATCAGTCTTTGCAAAAGCGTCAATATACAAACAAGGTTTAGATAATAGGCGGTGATCAGCTGGCAACAATCAATTGTCTCCAGGTACATGCGATCACACACTTGCTTCAACCAGCAAAAGATGGCGTAGTAAACGAATCCAATGTCAGTTAGATACAATGACGTTATTACCACCATTCCGCTCTGTATATTTGAAGCATTTCGTGTAGGTTGCTCAACCATTTTTACAAGTTGGACTATTTCATTTGTTCTATGTTTTGTATAGGTGTCAACGTCAGTAAGTCTTCAAATGCCAAGGGCAAAAATTCAAGTTGCATGAAATTGCACAACAGTTGGCAACTCGTATGATTATTGTGTAAAAGACTCATTAATGTCTACTACATTCAATTAAATTAGGTATTTATTATTGTCAAATTTATGCGTCTTATTCATTTAATCAAGCAGCGTACATTTCAGGATTTACGTTGGTAATATTTTCCGGTGACAACATCCGTCAGGTTGGATTCATTATATCTGCTGGCGGATAGCGCTGTGTTCGAAGCGTAGTATGCAATTGGAAGAAAATCCGGGGTAGAAACCATCGACCTAATGGTTCTCTGGTGGCAGTTTAAACAAAAGTTCGGTACCAGGTTCAAACCCCTCGTATCCATGGGAGTCAGTTGCGAGCAAGCCAATGTACAGTGGGTCAGGTTGTGGTACAGCCCTCACCAAGTTTACGCGAAACAAGACAGCATATGCTGGTATCAAACATGTGTGGATCCGGCGGCATAAGTATGTATGAAGCCACTACTTTCAGGACTGGATTATCCTGAATGATATAAGAACAATACTTAGGAACAATACTAAATATGTACTTGTGTGCGTTGGTACAGATGACAAGTTGGCAATTAAAGCGAGAAAAAAGCTAACGGATGTGATGCCGTTCAAAATGAGTACGCAGGTTTCCATCAATTAAGCTTGTTACTGTCAGTTAAATATCATGAATGCATGGCGGAATACTCTTGATTCTGATCACAGCTAAATTCGGACCAAAACTTGTTCATCGCTCTTAATCTATACTGATAACAATATAGATTGTCACTCCGGTAATTTTCTTAAAAATACCATTATTATTGCAGTTAAATTGCTAGTCCCAAATCACGATTTCTGTATAGTTATAAAAATCATAATGCATGACTGAGTGGCATGTGCGCGGTGTAAGTTGCTAAGAGAAAAATGCTTCAATGCGGTACCAAATACTTCTTACACCCAGGTTCGTCCACATAGAACATTGGTTGCAAAAATGATAATAACGCTTAAGAAATCTATGTAAAGCTGGATATAGTCAAACATGAAATTGGCAGACCAAAACGGATAAAGATGCTGTAAATGCCATGGATAATACCGAAATATTACAATGCGCATTGCTATATTTCTGCCCCAGAAATAAACTGAATGCGCTATTATAAACTGTTGCTATCCTCAGCCGCATTCCACAATGTACACATCAACATTTCCTTTTGCAAAAATACTGTGCACAAATATGAGACACGCAAACCACCTGTGTAATATGCGCATCTAAGTAATAATATTAACGTTTTTCAGAACAAGATGTGAACCAGGGTAAGTAAATATTCGCAACAGTAGATTTTGATACAGAAATTAAACCATATTTTCGCGTCAACGCTGTGGCAGCTGTGCGCCCTCAACAAATATGGGCGATGGGAGAATGCCACGTAGTTCCAAAATCTGCTTAAGCTTCATGGCATATTTACTAGCGATTGCATTGTCTCGAAATTCCTCAGAGTACGATGGACACCCTTGTTAAAATGTGCATGGATTTGTAACCGTAATGGAAGCTTCCGATTTTGCACTACTTAGCTATCCATTCTGTATTATTTTAAACTTGGTTTGCAGCTCAGTATGCTGATATTGGTAAGCTGTTAGATTGCCGTTGTGATATATTATGTTTTTCATTGCTTGCCGAGCAAAGCGCAATGGGCTGGCTGTTTACTATTCAGCTACATCATGTTTGCAGCCTCTCTTGTTATGAAAGTCGAGTATTCCAATTATTAATTTATGTGCCCGACTTTGTAGCTGCTCCAATGCATTAATATGGTGTTCAATTCAAGAATGCTGAAATTTGATTACGGATTCTACATTTGGTGAACCTAAGCACGGACTTATGTCGAATTATTGAGCTATTTGTTTGTCAAATTTCTGTCACAACAGCCCAAATGTTAGTTTCCAATATTTAAGGCCTTTTCTGTTTGCCTTGGGCAACCGAAGTTACATGAACAGGGACACCAATCCCCGTTCGACACTTGGCTGTTGCAGTACGTTCGTTCCTAGTGGATAAGAATAAGTTCTTTGATGTCGGATGGAAAGTACCTTGCAGTTGCACACGTTGAAATGCACTAAAGTTTGGCTTGACCCTTGATATACGGTTCTGCAGTCACTGTGAAACAGATGCCAATCGGCGTTCTATTGGATATTGCACCAAATCTTTATATCATCGACAAGCGTTAGGAGGTTTATAGCAATTGTCTGTGCGAGGTGATTAATATACACCAAAAATAAACTTGGAACTAGAACTGAGCCCTGCGGCACACTGCACTCGACTTGTATATCGTCCGATTAAGAGCGCCGAACTCTGACCACTAATTGGTGTTGACGTAGAAACTTGGCGATTCCGCTTCAAATAGTATCGCCAATCCCACGATGCTGGAGCTTGAAGAGTAGTATCCGATTATCTAGACGACCGAAAGCCATCGACAATACAGGTAGATAACATTAGCGACTTCTCCAGCGTCAGCTGACTCGGGCCAACTACTGCGTGCGATTAGTACCTTACTGGTGCATGACCGCTGTCGACGGAAGCCGTGCTGCTCAGACGTAATGATGCTAGAGCATTCCCTAACAGAACAACAGTGCGACGGCAACTATGGGTTTTAATGACCTAGCAGAGTATAGGAATAATGGATACTAGGCGGTAGTTCGAGGGGGTCAGGTCCGCTACCACATGTTTGTATGGGGGTTATTATTCAAAGCTGCCACATAGCAGGACGTTGGTTCTGGTCTTAGTAGCGCTGGGAAAGCTGAGCTAAGAGTTCTGCGAGTTGGTTTCCTGCGTCCAGATAAATGGTATCAACCCCAGGCGAGCTCTGTTTGCGCTTGCGTAGTCTGTTTTTGAATGAAGCATCCGCGGTTAAAGTGGTGTGGGTTAGTCCTGGCGGAGAGACGACAATGGTTAGAAAATCGCTTGGTGACAAGACACTGTGAAACTTGAGGGCATATTGCATCTGGAGCCTGTTTGTTGCTTCCACAGCCGTTCTTGTTGGGCCATCGGCCATCGGCCATCCTAAATGGAGGAACTCCTTGCCTCAAATTTCTTAGGCTATTGACGTGCTTGTACAGCAGTTTGTGCATAGCACTAAATGTTTCCACGTTGTTCTCATGGCACGCAGCTTTGTCTTCTAGTATCCGTTGCCTACACTGATTAGTTTGGGCTATGTATTTTTCCCGACTTTTTGCTGCTAAGGCGTCATCGTACGCTCAATATGATGCAGTGCGTACTGTCATCTATTTTTCAGTTCGAATTCCTACGAAAGTGACAGCTTTACACTTATTGCGAACCCTTATCTCTGAAGCCACTGCAATCAGCCAACTGAAAATGTTGACGAAATCGAGCCAGTCGACTTCCGTGGGTTATTCGGCAAAGAACGACCAAACTGTTACGCTGACGAGCTGGGATAATCAACCGTAGAGTGTGAAGATTCGCACAGTCTCATCGTTCTCAATCCAATACTCCGCATATCAGAAGGATTGGAGACTGATTACCGAGTAATCAATGTGACCCAAATGGCGGTCTAAAATCTACACATCATTCATATGCTCCTTGATGATAAACACTAGATCCAGCACTGTTGACTGGTTACCTGTTCTGAAGCGCTGGGGTAATGTGATGTGATTGTAAGGAGAAACAGTAGTTCTGAGTTCTTTTAGATTGGCTTTGAATTGTTCCCCGAACTCGGCAGGCGTTCCCAAAATATGTTCGCTGTAATCACGC